TGCCAGATTGGAACATAATTCAAAAATAGGTGTTTATTTGTTTTAAAATATCCGCAAAATATACTTAAAATGTGTATAAAATAAGAATAAGTATATAAACTCACCAAAAAGTAGCCGTGTTTAGTATCGTTGGAAAGCTCTTCCGATGCTGAATGTATTGCAGTTTATATATCAGAAACGGTGTAGTGTTTCATGTATTGTCCCATAAAGTCCAATTATGGCATATCATATTAAAATAAACAGAACCCATTTGCGTAACTCGTGAGCTCTCGGATGGTGGGGGAGGGGGGTCCAAGTCTGGGGTCCAAGTCCGAGTCCAAATGCGCCCTGGAGAGGGTTAGATAAATGCCTGCAACATCATCAATTGGACCTTACAGGACGATCGGGTCATTTTATTCAGATTGGCCTTATCATGTTTCAGAACAACATATTTTTTGGTATTAAAGTAACACTTTATTAAAAACAATCAATGAATTTTGTTACGTCTTTATATTGATATTTTCAAGAATATTAGATGACCTGAAGAAAAAGTGATCCAGAAGTCGTAGGCTTACTGTACAATATATTACGGCGAAAGTAAATTTTTGTCCGTCTCTGAATTTTAATAGTGTTACTGTAATAGAGCCTGTTATTAAATATTGGAATGCTACCTTATAGATTTATAACCAGGTAGCAAAGCAGCTTATCTCAGTTGCCTAAACTGGTGGTAGCCTCTGTGTGCGCTAAAACGTGGAGATCTCTAGGTCTCCGATTCAAATAAAATCAAATCATTGTATATTCATCACTCAAAATGGGTTGAATTTTACAAAAGTAAAGGGTTCAAGCAGAAAAATCTAAACAACCAACATTTAAACATTTTTCAACAAATAGACCCACATCACAATAACAGCAAAATGAAACGAGGTTTAAAGGGCAAAAAGGCAATCAATATTAAAATTATTATTATTATTATTATTATTATTATTATTATTGTAATTATAATTATTTTAGTGAGATTATTATAGTTATTTTAATTACTGACTTAAAAATGAACAAAGCATTTGCCTGTACAGGGAGTCCTTTCCAGCCTTTTGGAGGATAAATTCTTTAAGTTTTCTAAGATGGAAATTGGAAGGAGCTTTAGGAATGAGGTAGTGTATTGAATTCCCATCACTGCTCTTCCTTGTATTTCAGTTGGAGGGCTGAAATGCAAGTTACGATAGCGCGCTGTCTTTCGGATGAGATATTTAACCTGTTGGTGCCATGTGCATTATGGCCTGAGTGCACATTAAAGAACGCAGTATACTAATTGGAAATGAGTAGGAAATTTACCTACCGTAATAGTGCTATATTCTGTAAAGTAAAGCCTCAAACCACCTCGATTTTGAGTCTACTAAATATAAAAATCTTCCCAGGCTTTTGCAGATATAGCCAGAACTAACTTAATATTTGGAGTTTTTTGATAGCAGATTATTTTTTTTTTAGATTTCAGTGAGTTAACCTGACTCAAAGACAAGCTTGCGTACAAAAAAACATGCACATTCATCTTCTATACACAATTAAAAATCAAAATTTAAAAGTAGATAGACATTTTGAAAACAAGAAAAAAACAAAACAAAACAAAACAAAAAAAAACAATTTCTCCCATATTACAGAAACCTCTTTGTTGAAACTAATACAGAAACAAATTCTTTTGTATTTAAAATATTTTTTTTAAATGAATTAAGAAACATTAGAAAATTCAAGATTAAATACATTAAAAATAACAAGCTTCTGTTCTTTTGACTTTTGGTAGTTAATATATATATATATATATATATTAGGAATTTCGTTGTCTTTATTTATAATGAGAAATTATTTATCAAAATATTTAATTTAATTTGTTTTTATTTTTTAATAGCTTCATGGATAGTCAACATTGTGACAATGAACGTGCAAGACCACACGCGCCGCCAAAGCTTTTGGTGAATTGAATCTCAAACGCGATAACGAAAGCTCTCTAAGTTACTGCATGATTATTTTATAATTTTTATAAAACTAATTTCTTCTAATTTTAAATATATTTTCCATGGATTCGTGATTATTCGTCATCATGCGTGGACTAAATGCGTGACAAATTTAAGATCACGCATGTGTTTCTGCCAAATCTAATCTAATATAATCATATTTATTTATATAGCGCCTTTCTTTGCAGATACGAAGCGCTTCTGTCCCTGGTCATTGGATCCACATGCTAAGTGTTGCTGCTGTATTCAGCGCAGGAGCAAGCA